TAATCCACAAAAAAGCAAAATCCAGGTTTTGCTAAAGCACTTGACAGGACCATGGTATCGGAAAGCAATTTGAAAGCCAATCAGCAAAGCACAGCAGCTCACCAGCTGCAAAATCTGACACGTCAACAGCGCACAGGGTGAGGACAGGAGCACAGCTGCCCTGGCACAGCTGCAGGTCCAGCCCGCCTGGCTCCTGCTGATGCCATGCTGGCTGCTGGGAAGCTCTTTCCCTTCTTTAATCTCACAGTTTTGCAGAGTAGTGTTAGGGGGAAATGTCCCTGTGTGGAGGAGGGCAGAGGGGGGAGTGAGTGTCTCCTCCGCTGGGCAGTGGTGAGGCTGCTCCTGCCTGGCTCTCCAGCTTGGGAGGGGACAGGGGAAGTGGGGAGCATCTGGAGGAGTCTGGCATGCTGTTCAGGGCTAGAGCATGGGGAGGATAGACTGCAGGACCTGGTCTGCTCCAGGGAAGGGCAGGCTGGGGTGACACATGCAGAAGAGAATGGTGCCAGCTGCTCTGGCAGCAGCGCCAGACTGGGGCTTGGGGGGTTATAGCTTGGCATTCAGCCAGTGGCTGGGACACCCCTCCACTCCACCAGGGACCACTGCCACCTGGCCCCATGTTGGGCTGTGCCCAGCTGACCCACATTCCCACAGCAGCCCTGCTATCTCTGGGAGAGCCAGCCTGTGCTGGCTGGTACCATTACACAACCCTGCTGCAGCCTGCTGCCTGCATACTACAATAGGCACTATTTTTATTCCCTTTCTTCTTGTCACAGGCAGTACAAGAGTCCTTGGGGTGGAGGCTTTCCTCCCCCACACTGTTATGTAGGACATTTCAGTCACTTGTCCTTGTGCCCTGCTTGTGCCTGTCCCTGCCATCGCAGCACATCAGGACCAGCAGGAACAGGATGTGGGGTCAGTGTTCTGCAGGGAGCAAAGCCCCAGGCTTGGGCACTGGTCAAAGCCTGCCCTGCCTGCTCAGCCTGTACACACCAGTCCAAGGAGGCACCTATTTCTGGGGAGATGGCATTTTTGCCCCTACCCATCTCTGTGACAGTATCACTCCCCAGAGTGGCAGCGAACAGGAGAGCACCAACATGCTGTGCCTGCCTGGCCATGGCCCCCCCTGGTCCAGACCTGCAGGTGGACTTCCCACCTTGACCTCAACCATGGGGCTGCCCAGCGCTGAGACGGCCCTAGTGTCCTGCTCTGGGATGGTAGGATGGGCCTACTGCAAGGTCCTGCCCTGCTGTCCCAGGGGGTAAGGCCCCTGGTCCCCACAGCAACCTTATACTCCCTCATGTTCCCAGGAAACTGCTGTCGGTGGTGGGTCTGGCCACCGGTGACAGCAAGTTACTCAGAGCAGAAAATCCTCATGTATGATGGGCATGATGTGGATGGAGCAATTTTCTGCACAATTACTCCAGTTTATACAGTGTGATAAACCAGTATTAAAGTAGGATGAGATGAGGCTTGGGAGCAATGTATCTTCCTTTGGAACCTATTTCTTGCCATGTTACACAGCTTGGGAATTTCCTAATGGAGCTGGAAGAAGTGGGGACCTGCAGCATAGGGGTTAGATCAGACTAGAAATAAAATTCCCAACTTCCTCCATTAAAGATACATGTACTCTGCTTTCAGACTTCTTAGGCCTAACAAAATTATCTCTCTAAGTGCTTAATGCAAGTACCAGGTGAGGGAAAAGCCACCACACAAATAGCTATTTGTGCCACCTCTTGCCAGGAGGAGGATGAGGACAGTGAACCTCTCCTGGCAGATGGCAGTGATGCTGTGTGGTAAGTGGGAGAAGGTGCTGGGGGATGAAGACGCAGCATGAGCGGGGGTATCAGTGCATGTCCAGAGTGAGCAGGCAGTACAGCCCCCATTAGTGTCGATGCAGTGCCCTCCTGTCACAAAGCCTCCTCCCAGACATGCAGATCTCCCTCAAGGAAGAGCAGATGGGGCTGTAATTCCAGCTGGATGACACGACATCAAAGCATCTCCCCATTGCCTACCGAGTCATGTTTTGCAGGGTGCAATCCTGCACTACCACATTTGCAGGTTCTTGGCAGGTTCTAGGGCACTTTGTGCATTCCCCAGTACACAGCCAGGTGTGTCCTCTTGGCAGTCCAGTTTCCAAAACCTGAGATGCAGCACCCCTTGGAATAGTCCTGCTCCCCTCAGGGCATCCCTGTTCCCTGAGGAGTTTCATGTGTTCTACCTCCTCTGGCTGAAGGCACTGGGCAGGCAGTTTCCTGTGGGACCCCAGGTAAAATGCCTGTCAGGGAATGCTGAGAAAGAAACAGGCTATGATTTCATCACCAACTGAATGGACAGCGGGTGAGGGAGCCTAGCAGAGGATAAGGATGAGGAGAAGAGTTGCTAAAGACAAACCCCAGTGACTTGGTCTTTCATGCTCCAGAAAGCATAAGACATGCTCCTGACTGCCTTCCTCACCACCACCTCCTTGCTCAGTTTCCTAACTTGGATCCTCTCCCCTTTTTTTTTCTCCTTAAGCCTGGATCTGCCCCGCAGCTCCTCCAAGCCGCTCCAAGCCTCCCCTCCCCGGAGCAGCGGCTCCCTGTGCCTTGCCCTTCCCAGGGGCCTGCAGCAGTCTCCCATGGCACGGATCCTTGCTGTGCTCAGCAGGAGTTATTCCTCCTTGCCCTTTGATGTTTTGAATCCACTGCTTGGGACCGCTGGTGGGGACAAGCCCTGGCTGATGATCAAAGTCTCCCTGCCAAGCTCTGCTGCTGAAGCCCAGTCCCTAGGATTTCCAGGTGGGAAATCCCTTGTTGTTGTTCTGGGTGGTGGCACAAAGCACAGAGTGGTGGGTGTTGGGAGCTGTCTGTGCACTGCTGGAACCAGAGCCAGTGTGGCACAGCACCTGGCTGTGATAACCAGGCATAAAAAAGGGTTACTCAAAAAAAATCACAAGCCAATGCAGCCAAACGCAGCCATTGGAAAAATTCCAAATATGTCAGTATGTTACACAGGCATCTACCAGGCAAACCAGCCAGGCACGGCGCTTGGCACTTGGTTGTTTGCTGGCATGTGCTGCTTGCCCAGGCTGGTGGCTCCGTGTAGAGCCAGCTGTGCCGCAGGCTGGTGCCAAGGCACCGGCACTCCGCAGCCAACGGCCTTCTTGGTGAAGGCCAAATTGAACAACGACCCTGTTAAATCCACTTCCAGTGCTGCATTCAGAGACAGTCAGGAGAGACCTGCTCTAGAAACCAAATCTTCCATATTTTGGGGAAAAGCAACTTCTTCACCCGCTCTTGGTGCTGGGCTGGCAGAGGCCAATGCTGCATGTGGGTGCTGGCTCTGGGTCATGGGCTCTGGTGTTTACTGAGCAGCAAACACTGATGGAAGGTGCTCCTTGGGGAGAGAGCTGCATCTCCTTGAAGCTGCCTTTGAGCCCAGGAGGTCCCTGGATTCCCAAGAGTCCCCAAGGCTGATGTAGAGAGCAGCACGTGGTGGCTCTGTACTGGTGGCAGGGCTGGTGGGACCCATGGGTTTGCTCACATCCTGCTCAGTACCTCTTATTTTTCCTATGGGAGAAACCACCTGCCTAATTAACCAGCAGGAAGGAGCTTGGCATCACCAGCCATGCCTGAGCACACTGCAAATTCCAATGACACTTAGAAGAGGAAATGTGCTGCCTTCTGGGTCTCTGTGCTAGTATTTAGGAGGCTGACAGCTGTGTCCTGAGCCCAGTTGGTACAAGGTATAATCAGAAAAGCTGCTTGAATAGTGTTGTTATAAAAGCGATGTTAAAATAATGGTGTGGAAGGAAAAGCTGGGGCTGTATGTTTCTGGGGTGTGTGTGCTACACTAGGCACTGTGCCCAGTACACTGCAGTGATACATTTAAGGCAGGCTCTGCTGAGGGAAATTAGCATCTTCATGCTGTACACAAGGTACACCGTGTTCTTCGGATGCAAGTTGAGAGTCAGATTTAAAACCATCCAATAGAACATTTTCCAATTTTTATTTATCAACAGGCATCTATGTGTATTCCTGGAGAATGAAATATTTATCTGTAGACACATGCATGCAGAACGTGAGAGTGTCAATGTATTATTTATCACCACTTCCCTCCCACAGCTTATAAATAACTCATGGAACCTGGTTGCCCAGCAGACCCTCTGGCCAGCTACCTAAAACAGCTCCAGCAGCCACCACAGGCCAGCTCCAGGCATCTTGCCCCAAGCAGAGCATTCCCTGCCTCCAGGCACTGCTGAGGAGAGGGCTGGCAGAGGGTGGCAATGCAGAGTGGCACTGGCCTTGCTGTTGGATGCCTCCACACACATCCCTACAAGTCCTACTGGCTCTGCACGTGGAAGCTGGTGCGGGTCATGGTTCCCCGGCCCACAGAGAGGGGAGGAGATGGAATCCAGGAGCCAAAGGGAACATGCATGAGCAGCAGGGCCTTTGCTGCGCTCCCATGGTGGGAGCACAGAGGGATGTGGGTGCTGGCTCCCGGTTTAGCCACCTAGAAGGGAAGCTGAGGCAGCCCCAGTGTTAAGCCAAACACACTGTACTGGGCTCTATGGAAACACTGTCATCTCACTGCAGATGTCAGACAACGAGAGCTGTTGTGTCAAAACCAAATTCCCTACAGACCCCCCAATATGAGATATATCACTTGTAGTGAAGATATGAGAAATGCAACTTAGCAAAATGCTCAGGAGGGAGGGATCAGATAGTGGCAACTCAAAGAACTCTTGGAATGGGAGGCTGAGGCAGGGAGCCCTGACTCAGAGCTGGAGTCTGGGCCAGGAACCAGGCTGCTGACATGCAGCCTGAGTCTGCCTGACCTCTGGAAGCAGTGCAATAGGCCTTGTGTACAGCAAACTAGGGAGAGGGAAGGCACCCAGAGCCTATTTTGGGGTCTCTGGAGATCTGTGGGTGCAAATCAGGCCCTCATGGTGCTGATCTGTGACTCTATTTGAAAGGTACTATGGGTGAATGAGAGCAGACAGGCATCAGACACAGTTTATGGCTTTGTACATATAATTCTAGTTTCAATCATGTAAAAAAAAAAATACCCTTCTGCTGAGCTCCAATAACACTGTTCTCCAGTGCTTAAGATGGATGCAGATAAAACAGATACCAGGAGATTTTTACTTCCCCTATAGAGTGACTGCAGAGAAGTCAGTGCTGCTGCAGGAGCCCGGGGCTATGAGCTGGGGCAGGTTACAGAGGTCAGGCTGTTCCTGCTGCACTGCAGGGACCGGTCGGGGTCTGGTATGGAAAGAAGGGGAGAGGATCCCCTCACCCAGGCCAGACATCTCCCAGGCAGTGCTAACACAGTGCACAGCTCTGACTCCCTGGGACAGCATCAGTCAGAGCAGGGGGAGATTACACAAAACCTAAAAAAATACAGAAAGCACAGTATTAATAACTAAGAATTGCACTAAATTACTTCATAAGTGAATTACCCTCCCTACATTACCTGCTGAGACGAGGAGCATCCCTGCCTTCTCTGCAGAGAGAGAGGATGGATGGATGGGAGCACTGCGACCCTCCGGCACTGCTGGTCACTGCACTGTGCAGAATCACTGGTAAGAGGTGCTCACGTGGGCGAGGGCTCACTTTGTTCATTGATAAACAAGCAGTGGCCGCTTGGGAAATGAAGTGCAGCAGTCATTCTGCTTTGCACAGTGATCCTGCCCAGCAGCCGAGAGCAGGGATCTGTCTGGGCGGCAGGAGGAACTTGGCAGATTGCAGTTACCTTTGCTGTCCCAAACCCAGGACCGAGCGGCCACCTCGCTCCTGGCTAGCGTCAGGGCTTCTCCAGCAGCCTCCTGGCACTGGGTGCAGGAGGACCCAGGAGGGCTTGGGGGCAGCACCCCACAGCCATCTCAGAGGAGTGAAAGCAGTAACAGGGTATGGGATGGTAGAGGGCTGGGAATGGGGCTGGAGTGGCCTCAGGTCTCATTGCTGGAGCATCCCTGGCCCTGCAGAGTTCAGTAGGGTGTGCAGTCCATGGCTGAGCAGGACAAGATGACACTGGGAGGGCACAAGCTGACACTGCCAGGATGTTCCTGCCGAGCACTGGCATTGTCCCAGCTGGAGGAGGTGACAGAGCTCAGTCCCCTCCCATGGTCACATCTCCAAAAAGAAAGGGAAACTGACAGCTCTGCATGCTGGACTTGCTCAGGGAGGCAAGCCCTGGGAGAGGCTAATGTGCCTACAATGTTTGCAGGACCAAAGATGTTTTCTCTCCATCCCAGGAGAGGATATTTTCCCTCCATCCCAGCCAAGCAAACTTCAGTGCTCATCAGACAAGGGTGCTGCAGGTCCTCAAATCAGGCCCTGGTGCTGAGAAGCCAAGGGGCAGTGGGGCCAGGCAGGAGCCAGCTGCTGGGATGCTGCAGAGAGTCAGAGACATTCATCAGTCTCCTGAGAGCATCATCTAGCACTGAGCTATTTCTAGGCCAGGGCTGTTATCAGGGAGGCATTACGAGACTGTCAGGTACAGAGTGTCTCTCAGCTGGAGTTGCACTCCTCATCTTGGGAGCAGCCACACGGCATCCTGTGGGGACTCGCTGGCTTCTGGCTTTGCTCCATTTCAAAGCCCATCTCCCTGTGTGCGTTTTAGTGAGGTTCACACACTTGAGGTTTCTAGGCCAAGTGAGAGCTTTCATTCCGTGCTGTACTCAGCAGCTCTGCGTGAAGGCAGCCTTTAAGGTGAGAGGCTGAAAGTGGTTCAATTTTGCAACAATAGCTGAGAACAAAGTACAGATTTTACCATTTAAAACTGGGACAAAACAGACCTGGAAGACTTTTGTGGGATTATTTTTTTCGGTTTTCTTTTAACACTCAGTAGCCTTTTGTAAGTTGAATTAAATGTACAGTGTCAGTGGTCTTTGCCTCATGCTGGAGCACTCCCATTCGACCCTGAATGACAAAGCAGGAATGGGGAAGCAGCACCTGGGGAGGGAAGGAAGCAGAAGAAGGTGAGGAGAGGGACCTTAGCTTGGGTTTGATCTCCTGGTCTGGGCTCTTCCTGGACTCTGCTGCTGGTTCCTCTCAGCACTAGTATTTTTTTCTTCTATTTTTTTGTCCTGCACTTAGCACATCCAGCTCATGTCTGGGCCTGGGGTACATAGGGGTGACAGCAGAACAAGCAATTAATCTTAATTGAGCTCTCCTAGTGGCTTTCTTCTCCTTCCACCCTGGGCTGACCTGCAGAGCATCTCTTCACCTTGACAAAAAGTATTTTTTTGTTACAGGGGTAAAAGTCATCATCACCATCATCATTCTTATGACAACCCAGCAAACTGAGCTCATAAAAGCTCCTCTTGCTTAATGCACCTCTGGTACGTGGGCCATTGCTCATCCTACCATGGGAACATAGGGAAGCCCTGGGGCTGAGCCAGCTCCTCTCTGAGCTGACCCCCCAAAATGGGAGAGGAGGGCTCAGCTATGCCCATGGAGGTCACACCAATAGCAAACACAACCACTGCCACCTCAATCATCCACCGCCGCATTCCTTACGGATACCATACAGTTCATAACAGCCTCGTTATAATTTCCCTCCTCACAGTTCGAATTTTAAATCACCCCACAGCCTCCTCCTGAAGACCTGCCGAGCTGAAGCCACTGCAGGTCACGTTGTGCAATTTGCTGTTGCAAGACAAAGAAAACAAGTTCTTCTTTTTCACAATTACCAAACTACTTCATCGAGCAATTTCCCTGCCTCTGTGCTTCGGCTTCAGTCAACAGTATTCCTCTGGGAAGGAAAGTCTAACTGCACCTCCGATTGACTTACTGATGGCTCTGCCATTACAGACGATTGTGCGAAGTTGCTTAAGTGGCAGGAGCAGCTCCTCTGCGCCTTGCTCTACAACTGAACCCGGACGAGGTTCGCTGGGATCGTAGGCAGATGCTGCCTGGAGGTGCTGCCCCTTCCCTGGGGGCGAACCACGTCTGCCTGTCTCAGTGTGGCTCTCGCCGGGGGCTCTGCTCTCGCGTGCGAAAGCCCTGGTCCTGATGAAACAGCTCCTCCCGGGGGGCCCAGCACAGCCCCAGGTGCTTGGTGGGGCTTGGCACTTGCCTGGGAGAGGGAATGTCAGCCCTGCCTCGGGGAGGAGGGCAGGGAGGGCTGTGCCCACAGCACACGGCCGTTACAGGGGAACCGCAAGCCCCTGTGTGAAGCAACTCCCCGCGGCAGCTGCTCACGGCCGGGGCGGCCCCGTCACCCCGCGCACGGCGCAGCGGGAGGAGCGGCTCCGCACCGCAGCAAGGCTTGGCTCCACCGAACCAGGGGACACCGGTTTCCTTCCCATCGCACCACGGCAGGAGCTGGCACCGGGACTGTTCCGGCCGGCGGGTGCTCCCGAGGGGGCCGCACTGCACCGGGAGCAGACAGACAGCCCACCACCGCCAGCTTTTAGGAACATGATGGGCTGTAAAGTCTATGTCTCCTCTGCTGCCTTTGCCACGCTTCAGCACTGCCCCGCTGGTGCCTTCCTAGGGACGGGTCAGACATGGGGACTGAGGGCGAGGACCCCCCATATCAGCTCTTTTTCAGTGCAAAGACAGCACCCCCATTTCACTGAGGGCAGGGCCCTAGGTCTTGTCTTGCTGCAGCTCAGCTGCCAGACCTGTGAAGCCCCAGTGGCCCCAAGAAGCCCCCGGGGGTGCCCAGGCTCCTGGCTGGCCACAGCTCTGCTTTGACCCCTCCAAACTTCCTGCATTTGTTTTGCTCGAGCTATTTGGGGGAAGTGGGGTATTGTTATGTCTTCAGCTCAGCATCTATTTAGAAAAGGATAATGCCATTGTGGGAGAGGACAATGAAAATATTAAATGCCTAAAATTCTCTGTCTCTCACTATTTTGACTAATTATTTGTTTTCTCTTTCTTTTTTTTCAAATGGGGATTTCCTCGGGAAATGACAGTGAGATTTGATGGGCCCTGATGAGTGGGGTAAAGCATGACTCAAGCCCACCAAGATGAGCCCAGACTGATTTCTGCTATAGCTCTAGTGCAGGGAGGTGAATCCCGCCCACTGCCTGAGCAGGGGCAGGGCAGGTGAAGGTCAGGGTATGACAGAGAAGGGATGGCCCACGCAGGAGCTGAGTGCCCCAGGAGACCTCAGTGCAGAGGACAGCAGCCACCCCCTCCTGCCATTTTCCCAGAACTATGTTTAGCTCCTGGTTTGCTCGGGGAACCCAGATGAGCACATTAAGATGGGACATCTTAATGTCATTGTCCCACCAGAAGCTGGCTTTAGTGGACTTTTTTGCTTTGCAGGATATACCTAATTGGACCTGACATCAGGGAGAGTCATGTTGGGTCCTGAAATAGCTTTCTGCAGAGCGTTACTCACAGAGGTGCCATGGGGCATTGTGGGTGTAAGTGTCCATGGAACTGCTTTTGCCAGGGTGCTGCATGGCATGGAGTGCCTGAGCTCAGGTCATGTCACATCTCAAGTCCTGGAAGCCCAAACTGGGGAGCAGAAATAATGACCATCTATGGCCTGGCTGATGAACCCCACCCCTAGATTAGCCCAAAGGTGCAATAAGGACTCTGGGTCTTTCTACTGCTGCACAACAGGCCCTTGCAATACCCTGTGTCTGCAGTGGTCCTCACTCCTCTGCCTCTCTGGCAGCAGCCTGGAGGGTCTGGTTTCCTTGGGGTTTCTCTCTTGGGTAACAGCAGCGAGAGCTGGGAAGAGGCAGCAGGTTCAGCTCGCTTCAAAGCAGCAGTAACCAAAAGGTCTTTATGGGATTGGGCTGGGAGTCCAAATAGGGAGAAGGCAGATCTTACAGTGGCTGCCAGATCCAGCAGATCCCAGTAGACTTTAGGGTCTCCTGTACAGCTGTACCATGTATGCTCTGCTAGAAATTTGCTGATCCAGCCTCCAGCCAGAGGGTTTTTGCAGCAAAGTCACGTGTGAGGGGATAACTGCTGTACTGGTGCATGTAGGATAACTGCTGTACTGGTGTGTAGGATAACTGCAGTAATGGTGTTTGGGATAATGCTGTACTGGTGCGTGTGGGATAACTGGTGTATTCGCGCAGGGACTCCCCTCCTTGCCATGAAGAGCCTTTGCATTATGAGACACTCTCTAAAGCCTGGACATTGCTTAAGAAAGTAAAATTAAAAGATTAAAGATAAGAGGCTCAGTTCTGATCTTGCAACTTGCCAGAGCAGTGTGGAAGGTGGGAGGCAGGATGGGACACAGTGTCACCTGCAGGGACAGTGGCAGACTGCCTTGAGGCAGCCTGAGCTCACAGTTCTGCCCCAGTCCTGCGCTGATCAGAGCCGTATGTGCAGAGGTATTTTGGGGATGCCTGGGGGGACACTGGGACATGGGATGGAGTTGCTGCTGCTGAGCCAGGGCAGAGAAGGGCAGGGACCTGTGTGTTGTTCCTGCACTGGGGAACCCTCCAGGTGGGTCAGTCTACATTCCAAATGAAGGCAGATGTTGGGATGGAGAAGGACTTTCCCAGTTACTGGCTGCTCCCCAGGAGTCTGTGAATGATGGAGACAGCACATACTCAGCTCTCTGTAGCTGCATCTTCCCCTTGCTCATTTGTCCCCTGGCCATGGTGGCTATCGCTGCCAGGGCTCTGTCAAGCAGCCTTCTGTCCGGGTTCTTCGGGGACCCCCAGAGAAGGTAGTGGGCAGGGCACGATCCCCAGGACCTCCCTCTGCTGCTGGGAAGCCTCCATTTCCTCCCAGGTGAGCAGAGGCAGAGGCAAGCTGCAAGGCAAACATGGTCTTGGCCATGTTCAGACGGCATCATCGCTAACAACTGGCTTTAATTAGTTACTGCTAATGGAAGTTCCTGCTCTCCACTTGCACCGGTCCCATCTCCTGGGCCACCACAGACATGGATGGAGGTGCCTCTGGGGGTCATCAACCACACCATGCATAGGCAAAGAAAGTGCAGGTCTCCCTGCTCAGAGAACAGTATTTCCAGACTGTTTTCCTCCACTTCCAGGAGAAGAGATATTTTTACACTAAAGTGGGCTACTCTCAGATGATTGTATTGCTGATCCTGGAGCTGAAGTTAAAATCCCTGTGCCATGCAGAGGGGAATGAGGCTTCCCAATGCACAAAACAAGGTGCTAGGGAAATACCATATCCCTACCTGACATCCCAGCTGCCTGGCTTGATGTCCCCATTGACCTGCTTCAAGCAGCAGAATGAGGAGTCACTGGTAGGAAAAGCAGGCAGCTGCATTCACATTTGACTCTACTGCTCAGTAAGTATGAGCAGAGAGATTGAAAATGTAATTATGATAATAAAGCTAAATCACAATCTTCCTACAGGAGCTACCAAATTATTTATATTAACTTTTCATCCTAATTCCCTTAACCATTCCTTGCCTGGAGGAGGAGAAGCCCTCACCACTGTGTTACAGTACAGGGAACCCTCAATGGCATTTGCTGAAACAGCAGCAAGTGGCAGTTCTTACTCAGCAGGAAACTGGGTTGGGAAAAGAGCTGTGTGAGAGAGACAGTGGCACTGAGGGCTGGAGCGCTTTGGGGGTGAAAAGGCACAACAAGAGGGGAGAGCCAGAGGGGAGAGCCAGAAGGGAGTGTGCAGGGCTGGGAAAGGCAGTGCCCAGATGCAGTCAGGGCTGGCTCGAAAGGGCAGAGCAAGGCTAGATTCAGGCACTACCTCTCCTGTCCCTTGGGACTGAGAGTGTACCTCCCACCATGATTTTTGGAGCCAGAGTGAGCAAAGATTGCGGCATAGCAGGACTCAAGAGCCATGGCACAGCCAGGCCAGCCTGGTGCAGAGCATGGCTTTGCACACAGACCCAGCAGCAGCAGCTTTGGTGCTGCTGCTCTGCCAGCTCCCTCCAGGAACACTGTCAGCTCTAATTAATGTCACAGTTTAGCTTGCTCATGCATCCGAGCAGACTGCGTGCAACTTCACGGTGCCACAGGAAGAGTGATGAATCCCATCCCAGAGCCTTTTCCTTGTGTCCCCCCTTGCTCGCCTGTGCGAGAGCAGTAGGGGTTTCCAGAACCACATGTGACACCAAGCAAGTCATCTCTCTGTGGGGTGACAGCGAGACTGGCTGCAGGAGGCAGGCTCCCCAGCTGCCCCCCATTTCAGAGCAGGAGAGTATGGGAGGAGCTCTATAGATAAAGCCCTTTGCTGTGACCAGTTCTCCAGAGTCCTTTCCACTAACCTGAGGACATGTTTGGTGCATGCAGACAGATGATGTGTACCGTGATGTGCCACCACTGAGTCCAAGACACCTGTGCAGTGGCATGAAAGCCTAAATGCCTGCAGGAAGCAGCATCGTCAGTCCTGGGTTATCCCTTTGTCTGTCCTGGGCTATCCCATCCCATCCCATCCCATCCCAGACTTTGCCCAGTTCCTACCATCAAAGGGCTTTGTTTAAGCCCACAGATGGGAGTTGTGCCCTGCTTTACCAAGTCTGAGCACACAGAACATCTCCCAGCTTGGGAAAAAGCATTTTGCAGCCTTTCTCCCACCTCCACCCCTCAGCAGCAGCATGGACCACAGTGACCAAGGTTGGATCTTGGAGGGTGCTGGGCAGCTGCAGCCTGGAGCTCAGTTCCTTGCAGAGCTGCCTCATCAAGCCAAGGGCTGGATTGGGACCTTGTCCTTCATTATATAACTGTTTCTCCGAGTGTTTTCGTAGCGCTCAGCCCTCCCACCAGGCAGAGCCCCCACCGGCAAGGGGAATGTCATGTTTTTTTGAATGCATAGCTTTGATTTCATGCCGGCTTGTAGAAGTGAAGAATTCTGCTTCCCCCAGCTCATGCACCTTGCAGGGCATTAACCAAGATGCAGACCCCTACAAGCCACCAGCCAGCAAGCTGAAGGTGTCGGCTTGTGTGGGGTGGGTGGTGGAGATGTGGGGAGAAGCAGAACCTCAGAGGCCAGGCCAGGTCGGTTCATCCGCGGGGATCTATGAGCCCCATGGATGAACTGACCTGACCTGGCCTCTGGGACCCCACGCTGTCCATGAGCTGCCCCGGCTGCCTGCCCTCGCATTCCTGTCCCTGCACATCATCTCCTTCCAGCTGCTGGGGAAAACAGCCCCTGCTGCTACCAGCGGCTGGGGTGAGGAGGGGGAGACGCCTTCACGGCATATGAGCTCTGCGGGAGTTGGGGCTGCTGCTGACCTTGGAAATGCAGAGGTTTTTTTCTTCCCAGCTCCAGGAGAAGTGGGAGGTGAGG